GGGGGGGGGGGGTCTGAGAGAATGTGTTGGCCGCCACTTCCATCTGCGTTGTCACGCTATTAATTTGGCCGCTTTTTTGCCCCTCAGGTGTGTGTCGCCCGCTGGATGCCGTCAAAACAGAAAACGTCGAGGTGAGTAAAAGTGCGTGTGAGAGGAGAAGGGGCGGTGCAGTAGGATCACGGGCAGAGCCGTTCGTTGTAAGCGTTATAGTTATTTTTTTTAAATGGTTCATTTTAAAAAATTAACCTTGGTTGTAATAGCATGAAAACTTCGAATATTTTTACTGTCCTTAAAGAGCGATAAGTCTACATTAGGGACTTAAAATATACACAACGGGTTGCTCAAACTTTAAAGTTAACGTAATTTTATGAAAATTCTTCACACGACTGTATTTTTGTCATACAAACTATCTTTTCTGCGTTCGTTCAGTAATTACGGTAGAGACAACCGTCAGAAGGTAGAAAGAAACCTCTTTAGTTTGGCTCAACCATGTGAGTGTTGCGTTCATCATATTTTTATGCGGTAAAATTCGGGTATACCCTACACACAGAAAAGGTTATTCTTTGTACCAATTCTAATGTACTACTTGACTCGTCGGAATTCATTTCAAGATTTCTGGATACGTGTATGTTTTGCGTTCTTGCAAGGTCGTTATGAGCCTCAACACAAATCAAAAATGAACTTGCGGACTTGATGTCATTTTTGCGTTGCCTTGCAACGAGTTCTTTTGTGTGGTACAAAGCACCTCCTTTCCTGTGTGCGGTTAATTATTTTTCCACGGACCCTTCTTTTGAATGTTTGTACGTATGACCCATTTAAGGTTAAAGGTATGTTTGGTCTTATTTCAACGGACTATGAGAAGTGCTTATTGTGCGACCTCTTTAGTAGCTCATTTCTGTACAGGTATATCATAGCGTCCACGGCCACGCGTTAAGAACCGAGGGCGTGTTTGGCAAAAAACGCTCCACAGAACGCGATGATACGGGTTACAGCATGTGGCCGGCCGTTATTGACCCTGTCCAACTTGACTTGAACAGTTATTGCGTATATAGTGTCAAGCATGTGTCCGAAAATTTGCACGTTTGAAGTTGTTCAATGACACGCAAAACTTAACAATAACTTGTTTTACCAGTGTCCTGGTGAATCGCTTGTAAGTCAGCGACCTTGGTGGGTCGCGTCGGGGCGCGGCGGGGCGCGCGGCCTAGTCAAGCAGCGGGCCGGGGCGCAAAGCCACTAAGACAAATAGCCCAGGCCCCGTTTGCTTGCCTTTGGGCTCTGTACCGGTGTACGCCACGGTGTAGCGCGGTCCCCCTCCCCCTCTCTCTCTCCCTCTCTCTCTTTCTCTCTCTCAGTTGTGACAGGAGCAGGGCTAGCAGACCGCTCCCCGCCCGCCCCGCCGCACCTGCCCGACAACATTCCAGGGGACACCTCTCCTGTCCGGTAGCGGCGTGCGGCAGCAAAGCGCGTCAAAGAGGCTGGGATGGGATAGGCCCGTCCCATCCCCGCGTCTCTGGTCGGGGAGCGGCCGCTGCACCCAAATTTATGAGTGAGGTAAATTTATTGGTTACTCTGTTTGCGCGAGGTGTCCCCGGCCAGCCCAACGGTGTACTCGCGACAGCAGGCGAATGCGAGTCAATACGTTAATTGCATACGTAATGTGACGACAGGTAGCGAGCCGCGCACGCACTCTATCAACACGCCCCCCCCCCCTCCTCCTCCTCTCTGTTCGTCTTCCTGCTCCCGCCCATCGCCCATCGTATTCCACCTCCTTCTGCTACCAGCCAACTCATTTTCATCGCGGATTGCAGATACAGATCTGCTGCGGGCCTTTGGCATGCGGGCACCCTCGCGGGCCCCGCGCTCGTGGCGCGCCGTGGTGTGGGCGATGAGGTTGGGCATGGTGTGCGCCCCACTCAACCCTCGTGGACACGCAGACTCAAGCGGACTGAGGAGCTGCTGCCCAATGAATCCTACTCCCTACTGCTGCTTTGCTTATTGCCGCAGCCCCCAGGCAACGGTTAAAAGAATGTCTTGAAATCCGAGAAAATTTCTTTGATTTCAAGGTCGGGTGGATAGTTTAAAGATTGGCCCTTGAAATCCCAGACTCTCTGTCTTAAAAACGCACGGCTTCCAAAGGAAATCCTTGGAATTTTCGTATGGTATTCAAGGGTTTTCCTTGAAGTATCCAGATCGTGCTCCCAGGAAAACCCTTGAATACCATACGAAAATTCCAAGACTTCCTCTTGGAAGATGCGGGTTTCAGGACAGAGTCTGAGATTTTAAGGGCCAATCTTGAAATTATCTACCCAACCTTGAAATTCAAGAAATTTTCTGGATTTCAAGACACTCTTTTTACCATGGCACTCTCGGGACCGCGACCCACCACGACCAGGCTACGATTGCACCACGCTCACCGTCATGTACGCCCCTGGTCTCGAGACCTGAGCTTCTTTCGTGTTGTCCGCGCCACGGGTCGGGGCGTGTCAACGTCCCGCCAGAGCCGTCAGCGCAGCGGTCTTCAAACCGTCACGGGTCAGCGTCGCGTGACGAGAGAGAGAGAGAGAGAGAGAGAGAGAGAGAGAGAGAGAGAGAGAGAGAGAGATGCGGTGATTTCCGCTGCGCTCACATTCAGTCCGCAATAAAGTTATATGCAAACGAATAAGGATATCATAATAGGAATCCGATTCACTAGCAGAAAAATATTAGCATTTTGAATGGAGGACCGTGAGCGCGGTTGTGCTCCAGGAGCGCCGCATGTCAGCCGCTTATTACGCGAAATATTTTTGCTCCCTTGATGTGTGTGTGTTTGTATACACACACGTGGCTGTGTGTGTGCACGAGCGCGTCTGCGTTGTCGCGCCTCCCGGCCTTTCACTCATGCAGCTGGAGATTCCCAGCGAGGCGCCTCCTCCTCCCACTCGCTCAATTAAGCGGTGTCGCGACGTAAGGCCCCCTCTCCCCTCTGTCTGGTTCCACTCATTGCGAGGGACACGCATGCGGCTACTGTGAGGGGAGCTGCCATGCGTGAGTGTGCTCAGGACAATTGAAAAGATGAGTTTCATGAAGGACCGTGAAAGTATTACGCTAGTAATTTGGCAGTATCAAGAAATAAGTTCCGAAAAGCTGCTACAGTAGTTGGCTGGCCGGAAAGCAAGATATCAGTTCAAAATAAAAATAAAACATTTTTAGATTTTAAGTTAAGCAAGTATTCGTTTTTCTTGAAAATCTACTGATTAGAGTTACATTTTCTTTTCCATAAATGTAGATATTGAAGTCATGGAGATACGAAAAGGATACCACCCCAGAAAAGATTCGCCTTTCTCAAATGTTGTGAAATGACAATAGATACAGCGTATTTTCATCGATTTGTCGTCACATTTCTCATAAAAATGTAGCTCTACCTATGTACCTGTGGTAAGTCATATGACAAAAGATTTGCCAGAATTGTCACATTAACGAAGTTTTATAGAGTGTCTCGCAAATACACAAACAGGCCTGTCCCGGCGATGACATGTTGAGTTGTGTAGATTAGCGTGATCTTGTCGATTTGCAGCTCACACGCAGTAGGGCCGCTGTGTGCGTGCTCGGGGAGTGCTTCGTTGCTTCGTGTATGTGTGTCCGTGCGAGTAGGGCAGCCTTCTACGATCGTGCGACTATTAGCTGTTTTATTTGACATAGGTGAGACCTCATTTTAATTCGTATCACTATCGCCTCCCTTAAATGAAGCTGTATTGACGATGTCCCCAACGAAATACTGTACGCTAATTCATTCTCAGGCGTCGTTAACACATGTTGCTCTTTTATTTAGACTTTTCCGAGGGGGAAATCACTTGCGAAATAGTTCGTACACCTTTTCCCGAAAGAGTCCGAAACAAAGGCGAAATAGAGCGAAATAGACCCGAAATAGACGCGAAATAGTCGGTGAAATAGTCAAAAAATACCCCTGAAATACTCCGAAATACCGCGAAATACCGCGAAATACCCTGAAATAATCCGAAATAGGCGAGAAATAACCGAAATGGCAGGAGAAATACCCGAGAAATACCAGTAATAGTCCGTACGCTACGGACCCAAGTGATTTCCCCCTCGGACTTTTCAATAAAAACTAGAGAAACGAAATCGAAAATGTACTGTATTTTCTGGGTACGTGTAATTCAAATGAAATTTTAGCAGAATCCGTCAGCAGAAGTGTACTCCCCTCCTCTCCTGGAACCATACGAACCGTGAGTCGGCCGGTCATTGTGTTCCCGTCGAGCGTGCAGGAGCGGTAGCCGTGTACAACACAATGCAAAAATGGAATACCCAGGAATCATTAAATATTGGCGCGCACCGCGATTTAGCTCTCTATTATTTTCGGGGAAGAATCTCCCCATAACAAGAAGTTGCGGGGTCTAATGACAATTAGGTGTGCCGCGTACTACTCGTGTGCAGCCCGAGTGCAGCACGTATGTCCGAGCGCATGCATAGCTTGTCAATGATGTGTGCAACCCTTCTACAACCCTGGTGCTGCTGGACTTAAGTCCTGTCTTATTATGGCCAACGTGACAACCAAGGACAGTGTAAGTGTAAGTGCGGCTGGACTCGAAAAACACACACCTGCTCGCTTGTAATATTAAATATTCTAGCAAAAACTGCAAAATACACTTTTAAGGAGACTTAGGCAAGTGTATGCCGATTTTGTTTAAACTCGATATATTTGGTTGTTATCCATGTTGATCACGATCGCCCATCAAATGTTTTTCCTGAGCATCATGTTCTAGCGCATTATAGGGAAGCAAATAATGAAAAAAAATCGCCTTTGCGCAAAAATTTAAGGAAGGGGTGTTAAATTGAAAAGTGGTACCCCCCCGCCTCTCTCTAAACCGCTTGTTCTAAGTCAGCATATGGACTTGTGAATTATAGCCTAGAGCCCGGAGTATCCTATGTTTGGCAACACAAGTCCTGTCCTGTGCATACTATGTGCAGCCGTTAACTCGTGGTCTCTGTCTCTACTCAACCTGAACGTACTATCCTCTGGTACAGACAGTCGTGGGGCTGGTCGCCACCTGGGGTGGCCTGCACCTTTGATTCCGCCGGACCTTTGCTCGCTACCGGTCGGTCGAGCATGCCGCGCTGACAGCGTCTTTAGGGA